TTTGGTCCTAACTTTCCATTTCTCCCCCCAATAAAGAAGAGAACCTTAATAAAAACCATTTGGTTGAGCTTTTGAAAAGAAGTTCCCTAGTGAAGATTAATTTGAAATACAAGGTTAATAGACAAATAGCGAAAATGGACAATACTAAGCAAAAACTAAATGCAGGATATACTAATGTCTTTAAAAGAAAAGTAAAACAAATAATACCACCTTCACTCATAGTTTTAACTCATAAATCTTGTGCTAAGATTGGTGTTTCACCTATGTTTGCCTCAACCTCTATCCAATCTAAGTAGTTTTATTGAGAGTCTAAGACTTGTAAAAGTATTAAAAGAATGATGAATGTTGGAGACCAAAAGTGGGGCATTGATGTAGTACAGGAGAAAGTCGATAAGTTCTGTGTAAGTTGGGATCATTCAAAGACACATAAGAAGTAGAGATGGCACCACCGACCCAGCTTAGTAAATATTTATTGAGATAGCATCATCACAGGATTTCTATCTTAGTTCGCTTTTACAAGTTGGTGCCATCACAGGGTTTCTATCTTAGTTCGCTTTTACCAAGTTAGCATTATTTCGAATTTATATTCAATTAGGACTTTCCTTTTGAAGGATGTTAGTATGATTCTATTTTGGAGTGTTTTCTTAGATTAGGATTTTAGTTTTTTAAAGATTTTTAATAGGATTCTATTATGGAGTGTTTTCTTAGATTAGRATTTTMKTTTKWWAAGAATTTTAGTAGGATTCTATTATGGAGTGTTTTCAGATTAGGAATAGGAGCCATAAGGGTGTATGCCTATATAAAGAGTAGCTAGGGAAATGTTAAGACATTTTTTGGATATTAAGTTTTCTCTTAATCATTCAGTGAAGAATTTTTTTTCTTGGTAGTTTGACTTTTGCTCTTTTCTTTAAATCTTTTCTCAATGTGTTTTGTTTCCGTACTGTGTTAGGTATGAAAAAAATCGGTGAGATGGCCATGGGGCAACTTTAAGAATCATTTTGATAATGAAGAAAAAGGGAAGTAGAGTATAGGAATCAATCTAATTTACCATCGAAGATTATCTTGTGCAAAAAAAAAAGTATTGCAGCAATAAGTGATCGATGGGAATATTACTATTTATTTTGATATGTAAATGTAAATGGAGGAATGAAGACAAAAAACCCTCAAATTACATGGGAGAAACTATAGATTCAAACAAAAAACAAATTATACATCAGCCAAAACTGCAGAAATTATGGCTCTCTACCTATAGATTCAACAAAGTCGATCTCCCTAAACATTTGAAGACATCTAAGGAATATCGTGTAAGTATATCCGAAACTATATAGCTGGAACAATTTTTGAATTTAAGTTTATATGTTTTGGAAGTTCTACCATAAAGGAACTAATAAGTTCATATGTTTTGGAAGTTCCAAAACCAAGATTTAGTTTCGTTTTTTTTTTCTTAGAAAGGCCATCAAGGATGAAATAATAATATATCATACATAAATCATTTCAAATAATGCCTACAACACCATTTCAAATACAAAATGACAACTAAGAAAATGAACTTACCATCGTCACTTTGTGCAATCTCCATTGTTCATGGTGATTAGAGAGATGTCAGAAATAACACGGATGATGAAAGAGGCCAAAGGATAATAAGGCCTTAAAATATTAAATCTTGGATTAATTAGAGTAATTGAACATACTTTACTTTTTAGGGAGAGTGTGTGCAAGAGAGAGAAAGTGTGCTTAGGAAAGAAGGGTTTGAATAGATGAAATATTGGGTTAATTATAGCAATTGAACATAAGCTAATTTTTAGGGAGTGTGTGTAAGAAAATGAATGTGTATTTAGGAAAGATCTTAGGACATTTAAAGAGGTTGAGTGGAGTGGGAGAGAGAGAGAGAGAGAGTGAATCAAAGCCAATTAAACATTTATATTAGAAAATAATAAGCATTTATATTAGAATCGTAGAGAGGCCGAAAAGGATGGAAGAGGTAATTTATTGATAAAAAGGATCATTTTGATAATTTCAAAATAGAAAACTCACTCATGTAAGAATTGAGAAAAGCAATGCCTAGGTGTGAGCAATATGGTGAGAGGATCCCTTCCTCCGTTTCCTCTTTATTATATTTATATTAGAAAATAATAAACATTTATATTAGAACCGTAGAGGGGCCCAAAAGGATAGAAGAGGTAATTTATTGACAAAAAGGATCATTTTGGTAATTTCAAAATAGAAAATTCACTCGTGTAAGAACCGAGAAAAGCAATGCGTACGTGTGAGCAATATGGTGAGAGGGCCCTTGCCTCCTCTATTTCCTATTTATTATATAGATATAGATTCTTATTTAAAAGCACACTTACCCTATTTAGATATTATACTTTTTGTAGCAAATGCATAGGGGCTTCACCAAATGACCCATAAGAAACCAGTTTGCCTGGTTTTTGTTTGCAGATAAAATGAAGGAAATCAACTTTTCCTTGAAAAATGATATCAATGAAAAAACAACCATTTTTCTCATTTTCATTGTGCTTCAATTAACTTGAAATCATCTAGAGACTAGAGGTAAGTAGGAAGTGGTTGAAAAATATACAAGGAAGTTCATTTCCCCACAATTAATTTACCACTTTTTTAAACATTTGTTTTCTGCAGCCATTTTACATGTCACCATGAAACCATATGAAGCCTAAAGTTAGTAGATGACAATCACATCTTATACAAATTGGCAGACCCATCGTCTATAAATGAAAGATCAACAAAACCCCATGAAAAAGCCAATTTCAAAATCTAAATGAATAAAATTAGGGGTGGCAAATGGGTGGATTGGGTTGGGTTGGGTAAGGGTTGAATACCAACCCACCCATATTATTCACCAACCCACCATGACCTATTATCAATCCTTGTTAAAGGGTCATAACCCACCCTAACCCTAACTCATCTTGATTCACCTATATTGACCCACTTGACCCATTCATATTGACCCTTAACCACCCTCACCCATACTTAAGGGTGTTAATAGATTTGGATGGGACAGACCAAAAAGACATAGTGGATTGGACCAATCCAGTCCAAAATATTTATTAGATTGAACTAGACTTGGTCCGCCCGTAATAAATTTATATTGAATTTGGTTGGGTTAAGCCAATATCTGGTCCAATAAGATAAGAATATAGGTGTCAATGGACCGAATTTGGGTTGATACCAATGTAAATTTAAAATGAATTTGAACAAATTGGACGGTCCAAACATTGAATTGGACCGGTCCAAAATGGTTCAAATTATTCATTGGATTGGATTGGACCTGGTCCATTTGTAATGGACTCACATTGGACTGGATCGGATTGGACCAAATCCAGTCCAATCAACACCCCTACCCATACTAACCCACCTACCTTCACTTATAAATATAAAAATGGGTTGGGACGATCCGTATACCAAAAAATGCAAAAATTGTAGATAAATTCAAAAAATAGTAGAAAAATTGCAGAAAATGCAAAAAATACAAAAAATACTAAGACATTATGAAAAATACTAAAAAATATAGAAAATTCAGAACTTTTGCAGAAAAAATCAGAAAATATGCAAAAAATACCAGAAAATTGTAGAAAATGCATGGAAACACCAAAAAAAAAAGCAAAAATATGTAGAAAAGCACAAAAAATTGTAGGAAATTAAAAAAACCAGAAAAATTTAGAAAATCTAGAAAAATACCAAAAAATTATAAAAAATTAAGCAAAATACCAAAAAATTATAGAAAATTCAGAAAATAACAGAAAATTGCAAAAAATGCAAAAAATGCATAACTTTTATAAAAGTGCTTTCGTAAAAGTTCTTTCAAAAAAGTACTTTATGAAAGTACTTTTGCAAAAGTGCTTTCATAAAAGTACTTTCCTAAAAACACTTTTACAAAAGTGCTTTTATGTAAAAGTGATTTTGTAGAAGTGCTTTCGTGTAAAAGTACTTTTGTAAAAGTGCTTTCATAAAAGTAGTTTTATAAAAGCTCTTCTATGCTTTCATAAAAGTTTTTTCGTAAAAGTCCTTTTCATAAAATTGCTTTTGTATAAAATTGCGTGTGAACGCGAAAGTTAATAAAATCTATTTTCTTTCACTTTTATTCTTAAAATTAAATGTGGCATGGTCGTTTGGAAGTGTAATGAGATGTGAGCATGCTAAGAGGCCTGAGTTTGAATTATTGTGACTTCTATTTTTTGAGATTTGGAGAGTATAGATAGAATTAACTTTGACCCAACCCATTGTGCGACCCTACCCATCCTGGCCCTAATGGATATTCTCGATCCAACCCACCCTGACCTTTTTTCACTGACCCTAATAGGTTACTTGAGTCATATTGATCCACTAATAAATTGGGTAGGTATGAATGGATTCCAAGGTGGATGGGTTGGATGAGCCAATTGGGTTGGGGTCAAGATTGCTAACCCTAAATAAAATCATAAATTGATAAAATCAATCAATATAAGAGAAACAATGAGAGATGGAGAATCAGGTTATTAAGCCTTTTCTTTCCTATGGAAATGGTAGGAGACCAGGAGATATCAGCTAATAAAAGAGACAAGACTTACCTTTTTCGTTCTCTTCACTTCTAAAATAATGTGTTGGTAATCAATAGAAAATTTTTCATTAATTGCTTGATAAACTGAGGCAAACCAACTTTTCCTTAAATGGAAAAAAACAAATAATTTTTTTCATTTTCCCACAATTAATTTACCAGTCAATTTTATGGACAGTTTTGTTTTCTTCAGTCATCATGAAACCATATGAACCCTAACATTAAATATTAACTGCGTGTAAAAATATTATAGAATATTTTTATTTTCTGCTTCTGTTTTCTGCAAAGAGGGCTATTTTAGTCTTTTAGTGGAGGCGCATGTTAGAAAATGCCAATATTATATATAAAAATTGCGTGTAAAAACATTAAAGAATATCAATAATTAATGATGTCTCTGTTAAAGGTACTGGACCTTAGGGCTTATAAATGTGTGTGTTGTCTCAGGGAGGATTCTCAACGTTTAATCACTGTTCTTTCTGCTTTTCCATCTTTGTTTCTCCTCAGACTCCTGCTGAGAAAGGGCTGTGCAGGTTCTCATACCAGTCTGCCTCTGTGAGTTCTTGGGGTTTTTGAACAGTGGTTTTATTTTCTTTAACCAGGAAGAAAAAGAGTTCTTTGATCTGGGTGGGTTTCAGAGATTCAAGTACTCTGCAAGTGGGTTTTTTTAATCTATTGTGTCGTCTAAAGCTCGAAAACCAAACTAGAAATGTTTGAATTCAAGACAGTAAAGAAGAAAATGTGGATGTTCTCTATTTGATTTTCTGCAGACTAGATTGTTCTCTTTTTTTGCGTAATGGAAGGTTTGAGAAGAAGCAGGACAAAGGGACTGCGTGGAGGAGTTGAAGATAAACTGCGTCGACGAAGGTTGTTCTTTTGGCCCACTCCAACGAATCGCCCACCTGGTTTTGGATACTCATTTCAGCTGCTTCAATTCTGGTTCTTGAATTCATAGACTCGAGCTGATTAGAAAGATGGGTTCTTTTTCCTGGAATTCGAATGTTGTTTATGGGAGCGAGTATTCGAGATATTTTGATGGGTTCTCCCCGAATGTTGGGTTTCGGATGATGGGTCGAGGGGGGTCGAGTTCGTCGTCGTCATTGGTTTTGGATAGCGAGAAGGGAGAACTCGTGAAAGCTCCGGCGAGGTTGGGGCCGAAGGCTATGTCGGAAGCCAAGGCCATCGCTGCTCTGAAGAGCCACAGCGAGGCTGAGAGAAGGCGAAGGGAGAGGATTAATGCTCATCTCTCTACTCTCCGGAAGCTTGTTCCTTGCTCTGATAAGGTCTGTGTTTTTTTTTTTTTTTTCCTTACCTCTTTTCTATTCGTTTTGCTTCTTCTTGAAATCTCGTTTGTTCATTTCCTTTGCAAAATCCGACTGGAGGTTTGGTTACTATGGATTAATTAATTAGTTCGTGATGAATCTGGTTGGTTTTCATTTTTTTTTCTGCTGATTAAGATTGATCCTTTGAATTAGTTTTTAGTTCAAGTAGTATAATAGAAAATAACCATTTCCTCATCACTGTTTGAAATTATGGTTAAATTGTGTTGAGAGTTTATAATGCGTGGTACAATATTCGCCATTTGTGCATGGTCTGAATTGTCTGCTTTCTGTGAACAGATGGACAAAGCTTCCTTGCTCGCCGAAGTGATCAGCCATGTGAAGGAGCTGAAAAGGAACGCTACAGAAGCTACAAAGGGCTCCGTCATCCCAATGGACAATGATGAGTTGATAGTTGAACCACATGGGGATGGATCAGAAGGAGGGTCTGTTCTAATCACAGCTTCTCTTTGCTGTGATTATCGACCTGAGCTTCTGGCTGACATAAGACAAGCGCTCGATTCCCTCCATCTGAAAACAGTGAGGGCCGAGATCTCAACCCTGGGAAGCAGGGTTAAGAATGTGTTCGTCATGACTAGCTATGAAGAAGGGGGTGTCGGCAAAGGCAATGGCGAGGTATGCCACCTTGTGAGCTCCATTAAGCAAGCTCTGAATTCTGTCCTGGAAAAGGCTTCCTCACCGGAATTTTCACCGGGAATCACACTTTCCAACAAGAGGCGAAGGGTTTCACCTTTTGATCATTCCTCCAGCTCATCTTCCTGAGAGCAGAACTTCTGCTGGAAACTATTATGACAACGATATGCAAAAGATAGATGTTTACTTTTACATGTTTCATTTGTAGTGGCATACTGGCATGTATTGAAGTGGTAGAAGCCTCTATTCCTTCTCTATTCTGTGCTAGAACCCAGAGAGAATTTAAGCAAAAGGCTGGAGGGTCTCTGTAGATAGCTAAATAAAAGCATGAACAGTATTTGTTTTCTGTGTCTGGGACTCTGGGTAGAGATATATTTAATTTCTGTAAACTGTGGAAGGATAAACAGAGAAGATTTGTGTTTTTTGTGTAAGAAGGTGATGAATCTAGATTGGAATAAGAAGGTGAAACACGTTACTGATTTGCTCTTATTATTTGTTCAATGGAAGTGATGGAACCAAGTGTCAATCAGAAAAGAAAACTCAGTACAATGTCACCTCAGTATGATGAGACGAATATCTTTAGTCACAGTGCAAAGGTGTCTATGCACTGTTTGCACCATAGAAGTCGTTACATCTGCCCAAGGTTTTGTTTACTTCATATCCACACTAACTTCAGTAAAGGAAAAGGTGATGTGAGATAAGGAAAGAAAAAATTCTACACAGATGATAGATTCATGAAATGATTATTGATTTACTATTCTGAATGTAATAACTCTTCTTCTTGCATCAAAATTTGTGCTCAGTTTGAGGGTATTTTTTTATCCTTTTCCTTTTCGTTGCTGTATACGGAGGCACAAATCTAGTTCTAGATCCCGTACCTGGACCCATCATCTGCTTGATCCACATGCACCCTTGTCCCACAGATGAGGAGATGGTGGTGTCTTTCAGTCAGTTTTCACGATCATCTATGAACAAAGATATTCTCTTTCGGTTTTATATGGCAGAAGCTACACATTGTCCGTAGAAGTGTGGTCTCATTCAGGCTGGAGCTTCACTGCTTCAGTCTCAACAGGGTTGCCGACAGATCTGATAATGATCCCATCCGAACTTCATCGTAAATCTATTGGGTTTTTGTTTGTATCTTTAATGGAAGATCATAATTGGGTTATTTTCAAATGTACCCATTTCTCTCTCTGGTTGATGCATTTAAGCACGGCTGTTTAATAATCACTGATTCCAATACATGATTGCATTCAAAATGAGATGAATTCTAGTTTTAGAATTCATGTTTGCATCCATCATAGTTAAAAATCATTTGGTACAAAACTAAATCAAATTTGCATTCTTATGAACTAGACATATTTATATTTGTACCTTTCCATTGTGTAGAATGTATAAAAAAGTTGGTGTTTATCAGCTCATTTGCAACATCTTTGAAGACTTTGTAGTGACATAACAAAATGCAAGCTGGAAAAATGAATAGAAGTCAGAATTCAGAAAGGTTTCTTGATACATTTAGTGGGCGTTCTTTTTTTTTATTTTTTTGGATTTTGAGAGGGGGGAAGTTGGTCAATGAGATTTTGGTTTTTATTGATCAAGAATCTTATTTTCTTTTTTCAAATTTATGTAGGGACCAAAGAATGCTTATTTTCTTGGGTATCAGTCTTAGGTGGGGAAATAACTTTTTCACCTAGGGGAAAGTTGCCAATACTTGAATGGAACAAAAATGCCCCTTTTAATAATAGATTTTTATGGCTAAAATGTCCATTGCCTTATTTATATGAGAAATAAAAAAATATGGGTAAATGCACTTACGTGGATAAATATTTTTCAGAAAAACTTACCCAAATAACTGTATTTTCCCGGATAAAAAACTTACCAAAAAATGGCCTTAACGTCCAAATGAAGAGAATTGAGAAATGGCTGTTGATAAATTTAGTGATAGAAGTCAGAAGTCAAGCAAATTATGAATTACATGTGGCCAAAATAGAAGAAGGAAGAGAAGAGAAGAAACTTTGGATGGTTTGAAACCTTCTCCTGTGTTTTAAAGCCCTTTGAAATCTGATCGCAGAGTTAGACAATATGGCATGGAAGTCGCATAATGACTTCCAAAATTTTAACAAGTGGGAAAGAGAGATATATCCACCATTAATGGGGAGAGACAAACTGCTCTGCAGACTTTATGGGATAGTGTAATAAAAATAATACCTATGTAATTTGAGTTCCTTTCTGTCTTCTGTCGTTTTATTGTATGTATGGTCGTAATTTAGCTTATCTTTTGATTTCAGTAGGCTGGGCCTCTGCCTAAACCCACCTTACCTACCTAACAATTACCAACACCATAAACAAGTCTAGAAATCATTCTCTTTCCCCCAAGATGAGTTCAAATAGTTTAAGGCAATGGGTGAAATTAAGAGAGATAGGATGAAACAAAGGGAGAATTATCAGTTAGGAGTGGGTATGGTCCTAATTCCTGACCTGTCATTTTCGTATAAATGGCCACTCTATCTCAGGTTCGAACCCGTGTTATCACACATTCTAGACTGAGATTTTATCATTAGACCAAGTAATGGCTCCTAAACCTTGATATGATATGACATATATATATATATTTTCTTATTGAAAAATGACATTCAAATTGAATCCAAAATGCGGTCGAATTTGAAGATGTTGGACTTGAATTTGAATCTTAATAGACTTGGATCATATTCGGGTTTAATCCAATTTTGCTTTAATTTTTTAAAATACAGAAAAAATTAAAAGTTAACTACTTTTCAACTTTTATATATAATAAATTAATATAACTATAACATACTAAATTTATTATATATAATTTCATATAATATAATAAATAAAATAATGTTTTTTATAATTACAAATATAATTATATAAAATTTTATATATTAAAATTAATAAATATTATAATATAATAACATTCAGATTTTAATTGGATCAGATGGAGTCAAATCCACATCTGATCTGATTATTAATTGGATGTAAATTACAAAATCCAAATATAATTCTATTATGTAAATATATTATCCAAATTTGCATTAATTTGATTAGATATCGGACTTTTGGATCCATTGACATCCCCATTGATTAGCTTGCCTTTTACATGTTTGTCCTTTGGTTAAAGAGAAATTCAAAAAGCATGTTTGCCAATAAAAAAAAGAAGAAGAGGAAGTAGAAGTATCTATACAAAATGCAATAGAAGAAGTACCATGCTATTGAAATTGTTTTAGTTTGGTATTGGAAAAGCTAACTAATTGGAATTCATTGATTACTGGTGAAGTGTATATGTGAGAAAGTATCACCAACCCAAATTAAAAAAAAAAAAAAGAAAATGAGGAGGAAGAAAGAAAAATGTTACCTAACATATTAGAATGCTGATTGCAAGGCAGTCAATCAAATCAATATAGAGCAGAGATGAACAAAGAGGAAGAAGGCAGCATCAAAGCAAAACTTGAATACTAAATTGCTCACGTTTGAAGACAATATGAAAAGGCTTTATTTGGAGCCATATATAAGAAGTTTTTCTTTTAATTAATCTTTTCTTATGAAGACATCAAAACACTTGATTGGCTTTGAATCTAAATGAATTTTTATGTAGTCTAATTGAAGGATCTAGTAGGCACAAGTTTGTAATGAAGAGTTTGGGTCAAGACATAGGCACAGTATATGCAAAGATTAAAATTTTGATAAAATACGCCCCATATGTTTCGGGACTTTTCTTTTCTAAACCAATTTTTGAAAAATAAACTAAAAATTTATAAAAGCACAAGGTTTTTAGTACTGATCCACAGAGGTATATGATACTTTGAACCTTGAGTATATATTGAAATTTGATTATAAGGGTATTTTTTTTCATTAAATGTATCGTTAAAGTGATATTACATTATGTGCATATTTTTTATTATTTATTCAAGCTAGTTAAACGCCATTAGGCACCACTAGGCGCCCCATAGAGGAAAGATAAAAGACAAGCGGTACTATTGCAAGAAAGACTAAAATAATATTTCTTGCAATGTTAGCTTCCACATAAATCAAGGTGTTTAAAGTAGGCATTTTTTTTTTTTATAATGCCCCAACCAAACAGAAAAAGAAGATGAAACTACCATGTCTATTTGGCGCTGATTTGGAGTGTTTATAAATTTACATGCCGATGATACTAAACATCTAGTAAATCAGAAAATCAAACAATGAACTTAGGCCCTGTTCACTTTTCGGTAAGTTATTTACCCGGGGGTAAATACAGTTATCTGGGTAAGTTTTTCTTGGAAAACACTTATCTGGGTAAGCGGATTTATCCATGCTCTTTTATTTCTCATGTAAATAAGGCAATGACCATTTTAGCTATAAAAATCCATTATTAAAAGGGGCATTTTTGTTCCATTAAAGTGTTGTCAACTTTCCCCCTAGGTGAGAAAGTTATTTACCCACCTAAGAGATGGGTATCATTTACCCAGGAAAGTAATACCCAGGAAAATGAATTTTCCCTTGTCCCAACATAAATCTGGAAAAAGAACAAGGGATTCTTGGTCAATGGAAACCAAAATCCCATTGACCAACTTTCCCCCCTCTCAAAATCTGAAAGAAGAACGCCCCCTAATGGCATATCTTTGTAGCAGGAAATTATTCAATAAATACTAGAAGCAAATTAAGCCAAATGATCCTACTGCAGTGATAGACTTTGATGGGGAGAAGCTTGAGTTCATTAACCTTCCAATAATTTCTTTTTTTAATAAGAACCTTGAAACATTAGATGGACTACATAATTTTCATGGCGAATCTGAATCAAATGCCTCAGATTATTTACTAGAATCTAATCCTGGAGAGAATCTGATAAATCTTAGAATGCTACACAAACAGTTAAATAATGGACTAATTATTAATATCCCCACGTAGAAATCAATCCTAGTCGGATATAAAGCTTTGTTGAGTGGTTGAGAAAGGAGAAATTGGAGCTTTGGGCTTTGGGGAAAATGGTGCAAGCTTGGTAATCAAAGTGTCGTTTCATATGGTTTTCCTAGACCAAACCAGAGGTTTTCAACGGGATGAATCCCATTGGCCATTGTCATCTCTTCGTCAGAATAAGCCACTCAAAGTCACTCATTTGGGAATTGAAGTGGCCTCTTTGGCTCCACCAATCACTCTTCTCCTTTTTTTTCTGCAAAGAACTTGGTTCATATTTGATGCATTTACTTTTCCGAAACATCGAACTCTCCAGAAATCAGAGTGGAGTAGTGGACCAGATTTTTCTCTTTTCCAAACCTTTGTCAATTGCAATGATTAAAGAAAGGTTATTACCCAATATTGGTTCCATCTATCTGGGGTTCTAAGGAGGGGTAGACTGGGTGCGGTTTGTCAATTGCCAATTGTAATGATTTATGGGCTCGATTCAAAGGCCTAAGTCCAAATCTTTGGATCCCAATGTCTCAGTTTTGGGGCCCATCCACTCTATCTGTCATTACCTATTATCAATCCAA